AACCCAAATTATCAAACAATCACTAGCAATGTATTTACTTATATTTTGCATTTGTTCGTTGTTTTTGTTTCTCTCAACTTGGTAGACGCTCGATTTAATTCAACATTCAACATCAAATTTTGTAATACTTCTAATATATTTTTTCACATGGTTTAGTTTTTAGGTTTCTATTTAGTATTAGTTTGCGAACTAAACTTATTTAATTTAGGATTTAGATGATTTGAATTTAAGTTGATAAACTGAATTTTAGATAATAAATAAACTAAACTGATCGATCCGGTTCTTGAAATACTCTATAGTTTATGATAAATTGAATAAAATTGAGAAGATTAGCTCATGTACGCTCACAATACTAACAAAGAGATGTCATGGACTCATATAGTTCATAGCTATAGTGGGACAAAAGACAAAGTTTTTACGAATACAAACTTCGCTATCTTACGTATTGCCAATTCATATAAGCTGTCCAATCAATTATAGAAATTATTTTTATCTTTTTTTTTTGGTATTTTTTCAGTCTTTTCCAATTTGTCGTTTTACTATTACTCTGGTTTATTTTGGTTTTTTCCATTATTATATAATTATTTTGTCGGCATTTTCTTATAGGGCTTTCTGATGTAAGATGGCAAAACTTTCCTTCAAACGTCAATGGAATGATTAAATCATATACGTGAACATAAAACGGTGCTTTTTACGCGTTTTTGTTTATCTCATGGATTTATAATCGTAGCAATTATATTGTTAATAGTTACGGCAATACATTACCATAAGTAAAAATATGTTTGTTGTTGTTGAAAAAGAAAACGTATAGTTCATCGCTAGAGACGTGATATTTGTCTTTTTCTTTTATATTTTTCATTAATTACGAGCTATTTATAAAACACGAAGTTGCTCTTTTGTTCTGAACATATAGCTATTTATATTCGTCAATGGAAGGTTACATAGATATGTGTGCGTGACGGTAGATCTTGTTGACACTACGGTATGGGAAATTTTGTCTTGGCTTGCATCACTTTTCCGAGTTGTGATATTCCACAGTTATGATTATTACAATTTACAGGCACGTCCCAGGTTTATTATTACATGACATTACCTCGTAGAAACAGTTTATACACGAAACAGTTTATAAATTACACTAAAAAGTCGACTTTTTCTTCTTCTTTTTTAACACCAGAAAAGTCTGTTTTTATAATCAACACAATCCCTCCATATTTTATAGTAAATCATAGAGACAACTCACTTAGCTAATTTCATGAGTCCATGACACGTAGTCCAAGCCCAGGGCATATTAACAAATTGAAGTGAAAAAAATGGAAAATATAGGTTTTCTTTTCTTTTATGATAATAAGACTAAGTTTAAATTTGATTTCTTTCTCAAAAAAAAATTATTTTCTTTAAAATACAAAGTATTCGACAAAAAAAAATCTCAGTTGAATTAAATTATAATCATTTAACATTTCTTAAAATTAATGGATGAGGTATTTAATCTTGTCATTTACAAACAAACTTCTTGACAGAAACTTATACCTAATTCTTCTACTAACTAATTGGCCTCAAGTACCAACAAATCCACCACTCTTTATATATACTATGGGGTTTTTATTTGTATATCAAGTTTCTGTTATTGATATGTAAATCAACAATGCTATTTCATTGATATGACTGTTTTAAGTTATTCAACGTGATATCTACACGTTTAGATCACACATCTGATTCGAAAAATTAGACTCCACAACTCAACAATAATATCGATACAAAAATTTATCTCAAAGAGAAAATTCAAATAAATGTGTAAAATTTTTTTATTAAATTATTTTTCCGTCGCTAGATATTACAGTTTGCAGAGGAATAAATTATTTAAGCGGAAAAGACAAGATTGGATTTTTATTTTTTTTTGTTATAATGGCGACAAGATCAGAGTTACCAATATTGAAACTGTTCGATGTATCATAAGATTATAATCTAAAGGGGTCAGACCACAGACTTCATTCATATTATTGTCCACTTGATGTCTTGATCCCAAGTTTCGTAACTCAAAATTGATATCTCGTTTTCGAGAAGTTGATGGTTATCCAACTTTGTCCCCTCCTACTGAGTTCTTTTCAGTGTTTTGCTTTTGGAAAAATTAAATATATATACCGAAGCAAATTTTCTTCAAATTCCTATATATAAATCCGTTTTTTTTAAGAAAAACATTAGTCTCCTTCAAATTCCTAGGTATAAAAACATTGGTTTAACTGTTTTGTAATTATATAGCATAAAATTTGTTCACCTTTCAAGTGTTTCTATTAGTTGACTATTTTATCATCCTGATATTCATTTGACAGCATCACCATTAATTAAATAAAATTTGTGTTTGTGAAAAACTTTTCAAAAGTTCATAATCTTCGAAAAATAACAATGATAAAAGGAACAGAAAAAAAGTCGCTTAAGACCACTAAGTAGCATCCCGGCCTAAGTCATATACTCATATAATTTAAACTAAAAGAAAAGATTATCGCAGGAAAACGATGTAAGGCATAAATCACAAATGATAAATGGGAGAGATAACCAAGTCGC